CTACAAATTTCTACTTAACTAGGTTGAATTCTTATGAGCCTTAAATGATAGAAAACTGAGTATTAATCATTATCACTTTCAAAAAATTTGATATCATTTAGTAGGTTCTGCAGACTGAAGTTGATATAGGAAGACTCTTAAATTTTGAACATTATGAATCTTCATTCTAAGATATGATATCCCAAAGTCACTTGTAAATATGTGTGTGTGTGTGTGTGTGTGTGTGTGTGCGCGTGTAGTATACTGTCCTTTGGACCTATTCATCCAATAAGTCCTAGTCTTCAAGAATATTATTCAGATTGGAAAGGAAAATGAATGGCAAAAGGTTTTATTGAGAGGAAGTCAGATTATGCTACAACATCTCCCCCCCCCCCACAGGTGGTTCAAGGGAATACACTGGGCAATCAAGCAGATTATATTATTTTCTCTCCTAGAAGGAGTTTTCCAAACAAACAAGGTTACTGTAAATAGCATCCCATCCTGAATAAGAGAATGTTGTGAACAGAATGCTAAATTCTTCTAAAATGTATATATATCAGCACCTTGAGATAAAACCAATTATCACTGAAACTATTAGTTTGAGCCCAGGGCTATGAAGGGGCCATGATACCATATCTGGAAATGGTAAATTGTGGTGGTGTTTTTCTTTTTTGTTTTACTATAATATAACATAGAACTAGATGACCAGATTTAAAAAAAAACATAATTCTTATTAACTTGACTTTTAAACAATATTCCCACTAAACAGATTTGAAATGAGTTTTAATTAATTATTCAAACAATCATAGAATTATTTTTGATTACACTGAGATCTCTTTGTCTACAATGAGGTGTCATAGCTGGTAGAAAGGTCTATGGAGAAAAAATAAGAATACTGAGCCCCTTAGGGCATATATGCAATATAAATTACGCTATTTTGTCAAGCAGGCCAATAAATATCAACATTAAAATCAAAACCTACATCAGCCACTCTTAGTGAATGAAAAAATTACATTTTCATCTCACTATGCAATAAATCCATTAAAGAAGAACTAAGAAAACTAAGGAAAACAACAGGGCACAAAGTTCATATTTGCACATTTTATTATAAAATGGAGAGATAAAAAAATAAAGAAAACTTAGGAAAACAGGAGGCACAAAACAATAGTAATTCAAATATAACCCACTCCCTCAAATTATTTGAATGCTAAATTACAAGTAAATCTCATCATCTGTTAGAGCTCTCCCTATATACACAAAACTCACATTTGCAATGCAATGCAAATCTGAGAAATCAAAGGAGAAAATTTCCAGCTGTAAAACTGATAGAACAAGGATTCTTTCCCTACAAATCCAACTGCTCCATGCTGGATTAAAGCTGCAGAACAACCTCTGTTGATGATGCCAGTTTAACTATGAATTTGAAATCAAATACAGCTTTCTTGCTGGGATCCACAAAAAAGCATGAGTGTCCTTTGGGTCAAGGTGGCTAGATTCTAACAGCAATAATCACTTCTTTTTAAACCAAAACACCAGAATTTGAGACCACAATTAACTAGCCTGAATTGAACCACTTCAGTTTCCCACTGGGCTATTTGACAGATTATTTGGCCAAACTTAAATTCTTGGGATCCTCTAGTCTTTTTCTCTTTTCTTTACAATGTCCCCAGCTAAAGGTTCACAAAGAAACATATGCTAAATAAAGTCCCATAAAAGACTCTTTGCCTTTCTTACTCATGAGAAACAATGCCATGGGCACACACACAGCAGTTGAAGCTAGAAAAGTCTCATATTAGCTTATTCTCTATAGAAAGAGGTAAACTTTTCAATGTATAATATTCAAAGATACCATATGAATATTTTAAAAGAGATCTCTCTCTCTCTCTTTCTCTCAATTCTCTCTCAATTTCTCAAGGTGCAAATTAGAATGATAAATACACAAAACAATCCAAAAATGAGATATCAGAAGCATTTTGCCATCAGACAGACCATATGCTGATAAATCAGTCTTCAGTCAAAGGATTCCTGATGCTGTCTTACATCTATATCTCAAAATTTATAATGTTTCATATTACACTTTCCAGTGAATCACTTTTCCCTTCCTTCCCTTCCCTACATGGAAATAATTCCATCAGCTATATAAATGGGGAAAAGGGGAATATATTACTTAACAATTATGGGGTGCTAAGGAATGTAATTCAAACACTTCTGACATATCCACCTTCCACTAAAGACTGCACAATACAGATGGACACAGCTCTCATGACATCAGAACCTGTGGAATGTACGACTGCTAGGAAACACATGCTGCTGGGAAACAAAGAACAGATCTGATCAAATCTAATGTAAGGCCTGGGAATGACTGGGATCAATCTTCTAGATTGGGAGTAAATGTACTACATGAGATTCAAACTTGCCAGCAAACTGTACAGCTTTAACACATATACTGTGGAAATAAAACCTCCCTACAAAGACTTATTTCTCACTTATCTTCTAATAATTATAGCTCTCTCAATTATCTATCAAAGGAACTGCTCTTAGCCAAATCATTTGGTTTAAAAAGAATTCCTTCATGTTGTCCCTTTACTAACTAAAAGGACATATTATTTAATCAAATTTGGCTTCAATTGATTCAATATTTTCCTTTTTGCAATCTCAGCTCTTTTAGAAACTAAGATCTGTATACCAATCCAATCTGGGATCATCTCCTTTTTTAGTATCTTAGAAACCAAATGCCCTCACACAGAACCCTGTGTACTTTCAGTTCTAAGTAGAAGGATACTTGCAACAAACCCCAGAGCAGCCTAAGTGTAACCACAACAAAGGGATTTTGCCATCTCCGTCAGGTATAAGAATTTGAGAATAGTTTACCTAGAGAAAAGTAGTAGTTTATAATTGAGTGTTTATCTTGCCTTTGTGAAAGATAAAGTCTTTTTGCCTTTCTTACAGCATTTGCTTAAAAAAAGACAATGGATCTTTTTCTAAATGCTGGAATCTTACAACAGATCTCTTTTAACTTCATGCATTCTCTAGAAGACTCTTTTGGGTGACACTTACAAAAAGGACCAACAAACCCATTCTCTCTCAAGTTCTGAGGCAATTCTAAAAAGTGGGAGTCACAGGACCACCCCATTCACCACAGATTGGAAAGATACCAGGAGAAAGTTGGCTAAACTCTTTCTACACTGCATGTGAAAATGACTCAAAAACAAAGCATTCCAAAAGCAGTTGCCAAATCTCTGAGAATTTCACAGTGAACTTCTTGAACCAACGGTTAGGGAGAGTTAAGAAGAAACTAAAACTAGTCTGATACATAGTAACTTCAGAGGAAATATTCCCCTTTCTCCCCAGTCTCCACTCCACCCCCCCAAAAAAAAAGCTGCCTGCAGGAAAGGCAAGCCAGGAGAGTAAGAATGCTAATGGTTTCTAATGAGTAAGCGGAATGGTAAAGTCAGCACAATAGACCTCGGTTGTTTTGGCTGTAACTGCAATTGTTACACGGAGGCACGCACGCATTGTTGTTTACAATGTGCGTTAAGTACAACTGGCAGGCATCACTGGCAGGGATGGAGACTATGCACCTCGGAGGTTACTCACACACCAAGAGTTCTGAGAACAGTTCTCTGTTTCTCCCGGAATGAATAAAACCAAGTACACTTCAGGTAATTGGGGGTGGGTCGCGTGGAGGGGGCTCCAGGGAAGTGGGGAGGAGAATCAATAGAGCCAGGGTGGTATAGGCTCGTTTCGGTTATTTAAATCTCTGAATGAGATGACTCCTCTCATCAAAGGAAATTAGGTAGCTTTCTCAAGCGCAGCACCAGCAGCTCTGCTCTGAGAAACAGCACACATCGCCCCTGACTGGTTAGTGGTTTGGGGAGAACTCAAGAAGGTGAGAGCTGGCTGGACTCAATCAACCCTATCATCCCGCGCTCCCTCCTTCCTCCTTAAACCAGATTTTCCAGTTAAACTGAACAGAGACGATTTCGATAAGACAGTTCAGCGTAAGTAGCAGTAGCTTTGCCACCCTCCTACCAAACACCCCACCCCCAGCTCATCCTCAAGTGCGCGCCCGACCTCTGAGGGCTCTTAGCCCCAGGTGGACCTGGTATGACCCACTGGGCAACAAAAGCCAGCTCTTGATGTAGCTACTACCCCATGAATAGAAAAAGGAGAAAAAAAGACAAATGCTCCTAGCCTTCCCTTCTCCAAGCGTGAAGAGGTGCCTACTCACCTACCTGTAACCCAGCATGTTACAGTCACCTTCTCGCTTCACCTTTCCAACTCCTCCCTGACATTACTGGTGGCCCCAGTTCATACCAGCACTGTTCCCCATCCCTTTTCTGATGCCACCCACGAAAGTGGCTCCCTTTCTCATGCCTGCCGGGCTGAACTAAGGCTGGAGGGCATTTTAGGGAGGGTGACTTGGTCAAACTGAAAGACAGAAGAGGTGTAGGAACAACTGCCGGGGGGTGGGAGGGGGACTACCCAAAGCAGGTCCTGAAGTAGCCAAATAGGGCCAGCATGGATGCTCTTGACCTCGAGGGAGGAGGATACAAAGGAAGCTCAATGTCTCTGTCCTCTCAGACCTTGATCACCCTCTCCTACCTTCTTCCCCCATCCGCTACCCTAGCCCTCCTTCAGCCGGACAAACCCCAAACACAGAGAAGCCGTCGTTGTTTCAATCCAGCGGATAGGGCTGTAAGTATTGGGGGGGGGACGTCCATATTTTCAAGGGTGTGCAACTGCCAGCACTCTTTTCTCCCTTATTCCCTTTAAACCTCTCTCCTACTTCAAATCACCAAACTGTTGGAAATATACTGAGCCGCCCAGCACAGCATCTTGCACGGAGCCTTCAGGAGGGCATCACTCCCCTTTCCACATTACCATACTGTGCGTGTGTGTAATGCCCCGCACCATCGCGGCCGCCGCCAGCCCCTGATGCCAGGGAAAGAGGGACGAACGCATCAGGCTGCCCTCATCCGTTACGATGACTATTACGATGAGTGTGAAGAATAAATTACCTTTTGTAACCTCCGGTTCCTGAGATAGTCCCATCAGTTGCTCAACAGCCTGTAGCCAGGAGCTGCTCCCACAATCCAGCCATGGAACCCAGGGGGAAAAGATGGACCTGCCACAGTAAAGACAACCTCCTCCCCCTAAAACAAAAATAATAATCGAAGCTCGAAAGCGGGTAGCAGAAGGGTGGAGAACCCAGGCAAGGATAAGGGGAAAAAAAAGTGTCTCCTTCCCCCTCTTCTTGTTCTGCTACATAGCCACCTCCACCAGGGGGGAAGGGAGGGAGGGGGGAGGCTTTTCTTCCTTTTTGTTTCCTTACTGATATACACACCAAGAGGGAGAAGGGAAAAGGAGCAAAGAAAAAAAATGTATTTCCTAGTCAGTTGCCCAACTTCAGAGTAAGGTTATGTCTCCAGCAGCAGCGCCCACACAAAATCGTCAGCTATTAATATGCGGCAGTCATTGCACGAGCTGCTGCTGCTGCTGCTTCTCCTCCTTCTCTTGCCGCCGCTGCCGCTGCTGCTGCTCAGGAGAAGACGGTGCTGAAGAGACCAAAAATCTTCCACCATCCCCCCAGCTGATCTTTATAGCCAGTCCCCCCCCTCCACAAACTCCACCCCCCCTTTCTCTTTTCTTTTTCTTCTTCTTCCTCGTCCTCTTTTCGGTTTGGAGCGAAAGAGATGAAATAGGTAGGGAGAGCCAAGGGGGGCAGGGAGGGTTTCTTCTCCCCCAGAGCCACCACCTCCTCCTGTTGTTCTTTCCCAGCGAAGGTTTCTTTCTCCCGCCAGTAACCTGCCCAGAGAATGGGGGAGAGGACCACGCAAACTCCTTCCCCGGTGCAAATTGTCGGAGCGCAGACCAAGCAGCGGCCGAGGTGCTGAAGCTCCAGACAGAGCAAAGGACTGAGCCCGGGGGGTGTAGCTGTTTAGCTTGCGGGCTGATCCAGGGAGCTGCGGGCATGTGGGAGCTTCATTGCCCGACCCCCCTTCTCCCAGCCACCGCCGCCGCCTCCTCCTCCTTCTCTTCCTCCTCCTCCTCCTCCTTCTCTACCTCCTCCTCCTCTTCTTCGACTCACCGAGAGCGAGCGAGGATCACACACACACACACACACACACACACACACACACACACACACACACACACACACACACGGAGCTCCTGCCAAATCAAACCGTGCAACACACGCTCACACACTCACGGAGGAAGAGAAAGGGAGGAGGGAGGGAGAGAGGGGAGAGGGACGATTCACAGCCAGCAGCAGCTGCCGGAGCAGAGCAGGCAAGCAGTCCAAGAAAAGCCAGAGGCAGCCCCCTGAAGAACCAGAGGCAGCAGCTGCATCCCCGGTCCTTGGAGAAGAAGCGCTGAGAGGATGAGCAGACGAAGGGGGCACCTCACCGGGTACCAGGGTAATCCGTGATAGCGCTGGGACTGTGCAGCCCTGGAGAGGCGAAGGCTGCCGGAGCTCAGGCAGAATGAGCCGAAAGCTAGCCAGCGAGCCGAGAGCGCAGAAAAATCGGGGGGGGGGGTCGACTTAGGGGGAAGGGGAGGGAGAGAGAATCGGTGGAAGCAGAGAAAACCCGGATCTGGACCGTCAGCTGGCTCTACGGACGCGGGCTCCACCTAGCAGCTCTGCAAACGCATTGAGGTGGGGAACAAGAGGGGAACACAGAAGAGAAGAGGAAAGAGAAGCGGTAACTCTAGCAGGCTCCCCTCCTTTTCTCTTTTTCCATGTGAAGGGTACATCCCTAATGGCTAGACAGTTCCCTGCCTCCTTCCCTCTCCATCTCCTCATCTCCCCACCCTAACCGAGGGATAATGCTGAAGAGCCTGGAGTAGGAGACCGTGAAAACTGAGAGAGGATCTGGTTTCCCCAATAGTCAGATGTGACTTCTTAAGGTTTTGCATTATCTTGGTGTCTCATTCTGCCTGCTGCCTGGATTAGGATCATTTCTCTTTTTATGAGAAACTTTAATGATAAGTTGTTTGCAACTCTCTTAATAGTTTGGATGGGCAGAAGAATGTTAAATATTATTTTTAATGGATTAAAGAAGGGGTGGTGGTGATATTTTAATTTCAGGAGCCAGTTCTCAGCGAGTCGTATTTAAGAGATTTTTTTTTAAGCTTTAAGGAAAAATCCAAAGAGATGTTTTCTGGTGGTTGCAATAGAAAGCCTTTCAGGATAGCCTTGTGACCTTGGGCAGTTTAATTTCTTGGTTTCTCATTTTCCTCATCTATAAAATAATTCGAGTCGGCTATGACCTCAAGGCCCCTTCTCGTGCTAAAATTCTAGTTAATTCTAAGTTGTCCAAAAGGTGCCTTCTACAGGAAGCAGACCTATTGCTATATGAAATCCATATAACTGCTTTGTATTCAACCGAGAGCAGGTTAGTCAGATCTCCCAAATTCATGCCATGCCATTTTTTAAAATGACTAGGCCTCCCCATCTCACCCAGTCTAGAAGTAATGGGGGCTATGCAAGGGCTGCTGCTGCTACTGATCTAAAGGGGAGCTCTGAGTTACTTGGTTTTTGACCTGGACCACTTCATCCCGCCTTAAGTTCTTCAAATCGAATGACTTTCACATGTTCTTAGAGAAAAATGTAGTAATTGTTTACAGGTTAGCAAAACCATAGTGGGAAAAGGCTCAGACATGAGCTGAGAAGACAGCTTCTAGACTGGTTTCTCCTGCTTGGTACTTGTGTGACCTTAGGGGAGTGACTCCACCACCCCCCCAGAGGAGTTTGGACTAGGCCATCTCTTTTCCAGATAAAAATCTAATAGTTCTAATGTCTCTAAAAAGTCTCACTAGTTCCAATGGAGACTTTTGTGGGTCTAATATTCAGTATGCAACTCAGTGCTGGTAGAATTTTATATATTTGGAGAATATTCACAAAATTTATAATGCCTTTTTTTTCTGTAGACAAACTCATTTGTGTGGACATCTTATTACTGTCAGCGTAGATAAAATAATTTACACTGAGAGTGAGGTAAAAAATTATAGATCCTTATTTCCTTTTTTTGAATGGAAACTGATTTCCCTGGTGCAGAGGATTCCCAGAGAGGCTACATCCTTTATCAAAGCAAATTAGCAAATTAGAGGCAGAAAATTGCTAGAGGGGTGGGGGTGGGGGAAGCACTGACTCTTGTCCAGGGACCACAGAGCCGATGTGTGTTCAAACCTTGAACCCAGGTTTTTAGAGGTCTAGGCTTGATCTTTGTCCATTAGTTCACACTGACTCTCTGAATCATAGCTCCCTTTAAAATTTTCTGGGCCTTATTTTTAAATCACAAAATAAGGCACGTAGGTAGTGTAATTGATAGAGCACTAAACTTAGATTCAGAAAGATCCAACTCCAGATCCTATCTTAATCATTTCCTAGCTGTATAACTATAGTCAAGTCAATAATTTCTTTCAGTCTCAGATTTCCCGTCAATGAAATGGGAATAATAACAGCACCTAACTCTTGGTGTTATTGTGAGAATTAAATAGATGACAGATAGAAAGATAGATATTGATGTTGATATATATGACTTTGTAAACCTAAAAGTGTTATAAAAAAATGCTAGCTGTTATTATGCCATCAGTTTATCAAATACCCAATAAATTTATTTCAAATATTAAGCAGTATTTTAAAATAATTTTGAAAAATGCTGAGTAGATACCAAGTATCACTTGTGGAAGTAGCTAAAACAAAAATTTTAAAAATCATAATGTTATAATATACATTAGAATATAAGTTCTTTAGCACAGTGAGGTGGGTGGCCCATTCACGCCACACCCAGGCCAGTGTACTTCTATAGCTCTGGAGTCATGAGTAGCAATGGACTTCTAGGACCCACTATGTGGATGTCTACACAAAGTTAAGCATTAATATAGTGAGCCCCCTGGGAAGAAGGTAGAGACTAGATTGCTTAAGGAGGAGTTTGTCAGGAACCACTGAAGAGGTCACAGTACCTGGAGCAGATCAGGCCCATGAATAGCTTCTGCACTTCGAACCTGGACAAGATAGTCTTAAATAGGGATGGTTTCATTCAATGTAGTAGTATTCCAAAAGCCTAGCACAAGTGCAGATTGATTGATAATAATCAGAATCAGCCATAACACAACATCATGACATCATAGACCAGGAGAGACACTTAAAGTGACATTTTTCCAAACATCAGCAATAAGGTTTATTATCTTGAACATAACCAAGGAACTTTCATTAAAAAACTAAAGAAGGCTTATCAAAGTTAAATTAGCAACAAATAACCAAAATTATGAAGTGTTATGGAAAGGAATATAATCAAAAGGAAAAAAAAGGAAAGAAAAAAAATAAAGGTTGATGGAAGGGAGGGAAGGAAAAGAGTAAATTAATTATCTATTTAGAATCACCAAATGTCATAGTAGCAAGCAAATAAAATGACAGCTAACTATGTTTTAGATAAACTAAAAATTAAAACTTCCTGCTTCCAAAATAGTTTTAATCTGATGGGTATAGTCCTCAAGATTTGATTTAAGATATAAAGCTTTCCACTATTGCCAGGAAATCTTCAACTGCTGCCAATATTTTTTTCTAAGGTGAACCTTCCACAAAATGAAATAAAGTCCTATGGCCTCTTTGCTCCACAAGCTATATTTAACACATTCTTCTCAGAGACCATACTGCACCTGATGATGTTTGAGCACAGATGCTAATGTACAAGACAGCTCTGTACCAGCTGAAGTGGTTTTTGAAAAAAAAAAGATCGCCTTGTTTGCTTCAACTCCATTGAAATGGATGAAGAAAAAAAAAAGATCAATATTTTACCTAATGGAAAAGGACAAAACAGAACCAAGGAAAGTTTGCTTTCTCAAGAAAATATGATAGAAAAAAATAAAATGTTATGTGAAAAATAAACTACCTGAAATGACAAACCAAATCTGTTCTTACTATGATTTCTCATCCTAAGAAAAGAGGAGTAACTTTAAAAACTACTCTGGAACTCTTTGTAAAACATACTCATCACTCAAGTCCTTTCCCCACTAAAATCTCTTGTTAAATATATTACTATATTTATGGTCACATTTAGACATCTATGTATCTTCCTACCTCCACAATACCTAGCACCTTGCTGAAGACATAGAAGGCATTGGATGCATACATGTTGATTGATTCTTTTTAAGTGAATCAACAATTACCAGTTAACATAGGCCATGAAGTAGGCCATGTAAAGGGTTTTATGCATCTCTAAAATGATTTTTCTGCATGGGCAAAGGAAAAGAAAAAAATAATGCCTATCACAAGGGCATTGGAGTTTATTTTCAAATACCCAGACATTTTCCGTTCCCCTAGTTTCCATAGTTAATCAGCTCTGCCAGCCTAGAAAGCACCATATTCTCCCAAATCCATATTTGTTTGTTTTTCTGTTTGTGATTAACAGACTTGCTTTTGCAGTACAAGGAGAAATTACAGTCTTAAGAAACCATGTGTATAGGGTTATAGAAGATGTATAGCAACTTGTAAAGAAAGTTATAGTCTTAATTTTTCCCTTGTTATTTGTTGTAG